CTTTCCGCAATTTTTAATTTAACAACATTTTTTTCTGTTCTTTTTCGTGAGCAGGACATATTTTCCGATGTTTGTGTCCATGAACACAATATAAGAAATTCGTAAGAAAAAGAAATCGATTAAATGAAACGTTTTCTTTGTAACAAGTTCATTCATTTTATTCTTCATTGAGGTCAATCATCATAAACATAAACAAGGGTGAATATGGATGTCGTTCTGTTTACCCATACCCATTCTCATCTATCGGTTTTAATTAAGACTATCTCCTAAGATCTTTCTCTTTATGTTCTCTAACTTTATCGCTCTTCCAATTCTTTCCTTCTTCATTACCATATGTGCAAAACTGTTCTCATATATATATATATGCATAACTGTCCTAGTATGCCATTAAATTTTTACTAATATTCTTGATAGTGGAGAATATACAAGATTTAAAGTGATACTTTCTCTTATTTGCTCTTTTGTGGAACTCAGATATATTTTCAAAGAAAATTGTAAGCGTAAGTTCAAGTTTCGGTGGCTCTCCACTATAGACCTCAGTAACCACGAACAGATGGCTTTAGATACTATACGATATTTCAGAGTTTTCATAAATGTTTCAAGAAAAAGTATTGTTCAATTTATGAATCATGCATGAGGATAACAGGTCTGAAAGATATACGTAAGTTCTACATTTCAACTCCTTTGAAGCTGCGCTAACAAGTTTTTTTTACTGAAGGATATTATTTTCTAACTTTGATATAGTGTTAAAGTGTAGTGAGAGAATTTTTGAAAACTTCGATATCTTCATCGATTTAGCTAAGAAAATGTAATGCAACTGAAACCTTTATATTGATTTTCATTAAATTTATTATAATAATATTTTTCATCAAAGATCAAGAATATGCCAAAAACAAGGTATTTATGTTATATTTTACAAATTCATTTTACTATGGATTAAAATACTGTCCTTTTTGTATGTAGTGTACTATTTCATTGTTAAATTAATAATCTACGGTCAATGATAGATACATTAAATAATTAAAAGTACTAAAAAGTTGAAAATAAATATAGTCTAACTACGAAGTAATCTATCAAAGAGACTCCTTCATATTCAAAGATATGTTCTTCTTCGAATCAAGTTTTAGTGAAAACCAAATAGATGCTATGTAAATCAAGATAAGCAATAAAAAAGATCTTTTTTGATGAGCTTCAATAGATCGTTAGATGGATGTAACACGCAATTAAGTAAATATCTTAGAGAAATGTCTATCTTAGAAGATATAACCAGAAAAAAAAACTTTAGAGAAAGATTGGACCAGAAAAATCATGAAAATGAAAAAAAAACATAAAAGAGCATATAATTACATAAAGAATTTCAATATTTTAGAATACTAATCGCAATTACCACTTGTAAATAAGACACATTTGGAATATTTATTGATGTCAATACAACTAAGAATTTTCAATATGAATCGTCTAAAATTTGATTGTTTTCGAGTTACATTTTTCTTGAGTCTTTTTGAATGACAATAAAAATTTATGACTATTATTTTCTAGAGTGTTTGCGCAGATGTTTATCTGATTGTTCTATATTCGAAATAAACATGTGAATATTTTATCGAAGTTTACACATGCTTTACAAGTAATTTAACCCTTTCAGGACCGGCCTATTTTGAGCAAAAATTTGCAAACTTTTCAACTTTCCAGAAATGATTTATTTTTGTCAGATTTATCAAACTGTGAACATTCGATAGCTTTCAAAGTGTGGTATTCTTTGAAACAGTTGAGATTGCACAGTGGAACATCACAAGCTAGACAATAAAACCTTTTATCACTCCGTTTCTTTTCTCGATTGTTTGTATGACTGCAGATGAAACAGCGTTTTTTTGACATTATTTCCGAGGATAAAAGCAATGAAATGACGAACAGTGAGACGTAGTGGACAATCGGTTGATGGTCTGCCTTTCATTTGTGACCGCTTTGATCTGTATTCTTCAATGAACTCTCGAGCAAGGTGCAAATGAAACTGTAAAAGTTCGGAATTTTTCTCGTTTTTCATCTTGTACATGGCATAAGAGTTCTGCACAGTAATATCAAATAAATGAAAAAACAACTTCTTATATCACTTTATTCTTTTTCGTAGACATTCCGAGGAATTGTTTGGTATTTCTACTTGATCCACTGCTCCCATATTTTTTTGGCAATAAGAGAAAAGAAGATGAATGTAAGTTCATTCATATAATTATATAGATAATGAGGAAAAGCTCGTATGATCACATCTGAAGAAGATGCAAGGCATAAGACGAACGTGTAAAAGAAGCAGGGTGTGGGTGTGGGTAGGGATGCACCAATTCCAGAAAATTCGCTTCAAAGATGCTATTTTTGCGATACCAAGCACTATCAATTCCGACCAATTTTTTGTGTTAAACTTGATCATCTTGAATCGCTCTACCTGTAGAGGTTGTCGGATTGCACTAAATACGATACAAAGATGTCAGAATTGGTTGGAATTGGCTAAAAATCGTAAATTTCCACCAACTTCGACCAATTCTGCCATCTTTTGATTGTATTTATTGTAATCCGGCAATCACTACAGGTAGAGCGATTCAAGGCCGTCTAGTTTAACACAAAAAATTGGTCGGAATTAGTGGTTCTTCATATTTCAAAAATACCATCTTTAAGGCCAATTTTCTGAAATTGGTGCATCCCTAGGTGTGGGTGTGGGTGTACGTAAAGATGACACTCAAAAGCCACCCATCCGACATCCATCCACACCCACACCCAAAACGCTTATAAAAAGTGAAAAAAATGGCCTCTCTTAGTGATTAAAACGAATCAAAACTTAGAAACATGTCTGACACTCGTCATGTAATGACAGTTAAACACGGAAAATATAGTTAGAACCCTGTATAATTTAAGATGCTAAAGATTCAAACTTGGTCACGTATGATAAAAAACAAGCTTCAATTATTGAAGTCAATAAATGTTTCCAATGAAAACTTTGTAAAACAAAGTCTTTTGTTCTTTTCTATATCGAAGTACTCATTTAGGACAAATCATTTGCTTTCTAAACGTATACTCTACAAAAGAGCGGTTAGCGCAATCTCAAACGGGACTAAAAATGTGAAACACGATGTAGATGCTACAGCCGATGTTCCAAAAGCTATCTTTTTTTACGCATGTTGGAGTACATTCCTTCATAACGGTTTACCTTACATTATAGACATTGAACAGGGCTATATTCCATTTATGCTTCAATCATATGTTAGTTATGCATTATTCCTGATATTTTCTTGTAGTCTTCTATCACAGTTTATAATGACCCCTAGACCATGTCTTTCGCGATCTGTGATGAGTCCAAAGCCCGTCTGTCACGGTCTTGCGGGGGAGGGGGGGGGGGGGGGGAGAGGTGCAAATTTCTACCCCTAAACACTTAACACTCCTTTCAGATCGTGTTTCACAAAATTTAATTCTTATCGGAAAAAAAGCTTGTTAGCGCAGGCCCTCTGAAGCTGAAATGTGAAACTCAGATATACTCTTTAGCCTTATTAAACTAACACAAAATAGATGAAATAAAAAATCCTTTCTAAACTTTAGTTGTGTTCGAAAAAAACCAATCAGCAAAGAAAAGATATTGTCTTATTTATTTCTGCGTTTAAAAACAGAAGTTTTTTATTTTTTTCTACGGGTGCCCCATTTTTTGTTTCCATTGTTGCTATTTGCTCATTATTTTTCCTTCGTTTTTCTTAATTTAACACTCTTATTATTATCATCATTGAACCAGTTGACACATAAGTCTGTTTTACATATCCATGATATCTACAGAAGATCTTAGAGCACTATTATATATATATATTAATCAATTCGCAAACAATGATATTCATTATTTTTCAAAATAATAACTTGATCGATTTTTCAAAAAACTCTTGAACGTCCAACGACTATTATTCTCGACTCTTAAAGTCTGCTATGGAGGTTGCCTATAATGAAGGGTCTACGTTGATATGGTCTATAATGGGGAGGGAGAAACCGCAAAAACTCGAACTAAAAACTTATATTCACTATTTTCTTCAAAAATATATGTGAGTACCACGAAACTATACAATTCCACATGATAATTATATTATTTCTTATCTTAATACGACGAAAATACATATTTATCTGGATAATGGTTAATTTATGGATAGAAAAATAAACAGGGAATAGAAAAAAAGATGACGAACACCTACATAAACATCCCAGATTATAGCTAATGGATTTTTTCTTCATTGTATGGTATGCATTTTTTTTTTATGTTATTTATCATATGAATTTATAAGGAATATTCTAAAAAATCTTTGAAATAATGTTCATTATGTATTCTTTTCATATAAACGAAATAAGAGAAGAATATAAGTACATACCACGATGAATGGAATAAATAATACGAAACGGGCCACCAACCAGGGTCAGTGAATTTTACTTTTGTTAATCTTGACACATTGGCTAATTCTGGTTATTTTTCTTTTCTTTCCTTCACACTAGGTTATTCACCATCAAATAATAAATGTAGCGACATTCTTTTTGATGTTTATGCCATAATCACTGTGCTATTCTCTGCCGTCATCCTGTTTGTTTGATCATATACTTTTCTTTTTCTCATTTCTTCTCTAGCAAGTGCTAATCGTTTCACATCGGATAAATATGCTTCTGACAGTTTTTTTGATCTCGTCATTATGCTATTATAGAAAAAAGAAAGTAGTTCTTAATTAGCTTTTTTTTAAATAACAATATTCATTTCATTCGATTCGTCCAAATAAGATATCAGAACACAAAAAAACCTGTTGATTTAAATATAAAAGCACCTGATTCTTTCATATGAAAATGAAAAAAAAAATTAAACAAAAAAAAACCAGCTCCACACCAAGACTGATCAAAAAACAAAATTATACATAATTCAAAATAAAACATAAGTATATATATAAATAAATAATTTAATTGTTTGTGTCACTGCAATGTTTATCACTATAAAGCCCTGTTTATTGTTTCGATTTCTGTTCATTAGAATTATTGTCTTCTAATGTAATGATATCATTATTTTCTGTATCACTTTGTTTATTATGAATATTAGAATGTACAACTCCGGATCGTGTTCGATTAAGTAAATTTAAAACAGTTGTATGTTCAAATAAACCAATAAAATCATGTATATATTCTTTACTTCGATCTTCCCAACGTTCCATAAATGTTTTTGATTCTTCTTTATATGTACTAAGTTTTAATTTAACTGTATTAATTCGTGATTGAAATTCAAGTTGATTTTTTTTAATAAAACCAACATTTAAATCTTGAGGTGAATAACCACGAGCTAAATTTCGTCGTACATACGTATCATAATCACGAACAATACGACATATTATATCAGATGTCGAAACAGCTTCAGTACGTTGAGTAGCAGCAAATATACCAAGTTCCTTCAAAATAAAAGTTATCGATAATAATTACTTATTGATATCATCTTGAAATTACACTGGTTTTTTAAATTTTTTCCTTAAAGGAGACTTCTGGTAAACATGATTTTTCCGGGGATCATTTCGTATACTTAAATGATCGGATACAATTTCAAATGTCCAGATATGATTGTTTATAATTATGAATTATAAAAAACGATAGCATGCATTATTCTTTCCAGCTATTTATAAGAGTTGTAATGATTGTTCTGAATTTATTTCGAAATCTCTGAGGAACCAGAGAATGTTCAAAATGATAAGAACAAGTTTATCGTGTTCAGAGAGTCATCATTATTATTTTATTAGTTTTTCGATATCTGTCAGTGTATCCGGAATATAGAGACTATAAACACTCTTAAAAACTTGACTATTTCAGCAACAAAAAAGCTGTTAGCGCAATCACTGTGGAGTTAACCTGTGAAACACGATGCAGCTGTTGTCATTAGTCACACAAATATGTTTTCTTCGATATCTTCGAATTCATTAATAAATCATTGTTTATGAATTCCTCTGGAGCTGCAAAAAAGAAGCAGTTGACATATTTCCATGAGACTCTAGCGACATTTAATCGTACTTCATATAAGAACAGGTCTCTCTATTTCTGTAATGGATACTGGGTTTTCTCAGTCACGGTCTGTGGGGGGAGTGGGTCCACAATTTCTACGCTATACACTTCAACACTCCTTTTAGATCGTGTTTCACAAAAATATTCATTTATAGATGAATACTAGATTAACAACAAAGTAATAATTCCAATAGAAAATTCTTCTTGTTTTTATCTTCTCTAATTCCATTAGGAATAAATCTAGACAATTAAATCAAAATCAAGATCAAAAAATAATCTAAAATGATTTTTCATCGCGTTTTTATGTAAACATAATACGTTTCATGCTATTGATAAGTTTCTCATACAATAATCCATTTCTGAAAACATAGAACTAAATCTATTAAGTGATAAAAATTTCGACTCGAACAAATAACCAGAAAAAATTCCCATTCATTTTTTCAATCTTTTTAAGGAACCTGCAGAAATTTGAAAACATTGGGTGCAAATTAGAATTTTGTATTCTTTCTGAATATGGATTCGAAATTTTTGTAGGACTTCTGGTTTAAGAGTTATGAGTCAAACTTTTAGAACATGCTAAAAATTATTCCAAGTCAAAGCGAAAATTATTTCGAATACAGACAATAAAATGGTATATTAATGACTAGTTAGCTCTAAGTCATTTGTTAATAGCAAGTGTTTTGTTAAGGAGCACCGTGCCAATTTATATAATCTTCTCGATTTCCATGGGAAAAAAGACTTGTAAAGTGAGCTCGACTACTTCTGAAACTCTTAATTCTTATACTACTTTGTAGAGAACAATTTTGCCTTTAATTCTATGCAAAAAAAAAATCGGTAATGTACTGTATGCAGTAAAGGTGACTAAAGCAGTAAGAACTGTCAATTTTCTCTGTTCAAACTTAATCTTCACGTCTCGAAAAGGTTAACTCATAAATCCTAAACTAAAAGAGTCCTAGAAAAATTTTAATCCCATACTTGGAAAGGACACAAAATTCTAATTCTAACCCAATGCTCTCAAACTTCTGCAGACTTTTAAAGAGCTTCCATGAGCCCGTCGAGCATCATTTCAATACACGAGGCACTCGATAAAAAATTTTTTAAGTTTTTTTGCTCATTCAATGCATCAATGTCTAAAACCACCAACCCAAAAAATTTAGGTTCTAATACCCTTCCTATGAAAAGTTAGCCAATACCGACTTTTAACACTAACATATCTTTTTGGGAAAAAACAAGAAAAAATATCCTATAAAAGATGTGCCAGCTTGCGTTTCAACAAATCATTGAAATTTGTCATGGTATCCATCAGAAGATAGAGAATTAAAAGCTGAACAAAATAAGCTATAATGATATAGTATAATGTGTAGCAACTCAAATTTTATAGACCCAACATGAGTTAAAGGCGGTCCTTTTCATCGGTCCAAGTACAACAATGTACATCTTGCTATGTTTTAGGATCAGAGATACTCAAGGTGAATTTTATATATGTTGTGTAACTTCTTTTTCTCTACAAAATGAGAAAAAAATATTCAAGAAAAAAACTTATAACCGTTACAACAAAGGGCTTACACCTCCTCATTTTTTTAATGGTTTTTGATCGTTTTTTCAATAGAAAATGAACATTTTTAGCGATCTTCATTGACATGATACCATGTTAAAGCAAAATAGATACGATACTCGAAATCAGCGTGAAAAACTGCATCTAACCATATATATTTTACGGAATCTTTTTTGCTGTCCAAAAATGACTTGTGGTCCCCCACAGCTGTATTTTGAAAAAATTTCTTCCCTGGCTACCCACAGGTCAGTTTTGGACAACAAAAAAGTATTTTCCAAAAATATATATGATTACGTGCAGTTTTTCACTCTGATTTCGAGTATCGTATCTATTTTGCTTTAACATTGTATCATGTCAATGAATAGGGGTGTCAGTGTTGCCGTTCCTCAGGGTTCCATCCCCAGGAATGGGAACGCCTTTGAAAATTAGTTTCTAAACATTAACCAATAATTGAAGATGCTGAGATGTGATTACTTTCTTCATTTCATATGGAACTATCATGGGTTCCACGTTCCCAGATACGGGAACCCACTCTAAGCTCTGCCTTCTCAAGTAAGGAAGCTTGCATCGCCCATCCATCAGTGGGTAGATTTCCGAAAAACGAAACTTCCATACTAAACGTTCCAATTCCAGAAACTACGACCATAAAGAATGTAACCCACCGAACTTAATCATATAGTGATACACATGTTGATATATCTTTTATGCCTTGTCGTTTTCTTGTAAAAACATCACAACTAGTTGATAGAAAGAAAGACTATGTTGATGATGGAACACTCAAGCAATATCGTATTGTTCTATTAGAAAATGAGAATAATTAGAAGTTAAATTACTTGCCTGAACACAAACCAAATTAAATTTCTTTTTATTTTGGTAGATATTTTGACAGTCTTAATGTTCCTAACGTTGCTCTATTCTCGAGTAATATTTTATTCTTTCATTAGTGTTACTTAATATTTTTCGTTGAGTATCTTCACCTGACCAAGCATAAGATTTTGCATACTTTTCACATTTCAAAGCTGTAGAAATACGGATCTGTATTATGAATTTATAAAATTTGACTAGATTCGTCCCATATGTGCATATGCCACAAGACGATTTAGAGAACAAAAAAAAAATTTCATCACACAAGTGTTGGTGCACGATGGAAAATAAGATATGAAATAAAAATAAGTGAATGAACAATTATTATTAGTCGCATTGAGGAATCGTTATTCAACTAGCGTTAGTTTCTATAAGAAACAAACATTTTCGAAACAAATCGAAAATTCGATGATATTTAGTGCTCATGCATGCTAATGTAATTCTTATTGACTCAAAATGAAACTTTTGAACTTCTTATTTATTATCATAGATTATATCTGGAAAAGTTCATCTAGTTTTGCTGAAATTGAATAATTTTTTCAGTAAAAAATGTAATATTCTTTTCGAATTTTCAATTGTAACATCAATCGATAACAAATCGACTTATAAAAATATTCACTTTTAACGACCTGCTCTTCGCTTCTGCATACTATGAAAAATCTTTGGAAAATCTATGCAAGAGATACTGGAGGAAGTATCGAATCCATCTGAACAATTCAACAGATGGGTCGATGCTGTTTGAGCATCAAGCTTTAAATTCATTCAGAAACTAATGGCTTAACAAAGAGTATGTTGTAAGAAGTGTGTATCGGTTCAAAAGACTAGTACCATTCGTTCCGAGCATTGAGCAATGTCTAAGGTGGCTAGCAAAACAACATTACGGATTCTATTCCTCTGATACCAAAATATGAACTTGATATATTTTCTAAGTTTCCACAGACATTCCTATAAATGAAAAAAAAAGACCTATAAGAGTCTACTATTCTGCTTAGTCTCATTCTCTCACTCTTCGTAACTTTTCATCTAAACCAGTGCCTCTGTTTGTATCTTTCATACTATTAAGTCCGATCGTGTACTTGATTTTCACGTTTACTTTCTTCTCGGTCTTGTCAACCTCAGTACATCCCAACATTATATCTCATCGTGACATTTAGTTTACAGAGTTTGTAATTTGCTTCCAGGTGTTTATCACGCCCACTCATTTTCCTTTCTTTGGTATCTGTATCTGTACCTTCTTATAGTTTTTTTGTCGCTCGTTCTCCCTCAGTACCTTTGCTCCTCTCGTTTGGTCTTGCTTTCATTTTCTTTTCGGTTTTTGTCCTTGTCTTTCTCTTTTTCTTCCTTCTCTTCTTTTTACTCCTGTTTTCCTTCTCTGTTCGTCTTTATATATTTTCTTCTAGTATCTTTTGTACACTTATGAATGATGTCTTAAAAGTCCTACGGGCATTAATCCTTTACTCCAACAAAGCATAAAATAAAGAAAAAGAAAAAAAATATTCACTTTTCAAGAAAAATATATCATGACAAAATGATTAATGAAATGTTATTTTACTCAAATAAGAAGCAACAAATTTTTATTAGTGAACCTATGTTTTTCAAGAACTTTATCCATCATTCAGTGGTAGCCAATATTATCTCTTTCTTTTCAAAATTGTACTGATTTCGTTTGAGCACTTGTAAATGACAATTAGCAAGATATAAGGACAAGAAGGCAAAAGAATTTTTGGAAAACTTCAAAAGCACCTTTCAAGAAAAGAAACTTAAGCAGTATACGATGACTGAAATTAAACTCGCTGAAAAGGCCTCCGTTCGGTTCAACAAGCGATATTATGAGAATGATACCGAGAATTTTTGTATCAATTTCATATATTCTGTAGTAGCCTGAATCAAACAAAGTTATTAAAAAGATATCAGGGTATTATCTTAAGAGTGCCGTTACTTCTCAGTGGATCAAATGGCTCTCAAGGGAGATTGCAGCAAAGAATCTTACGAGAAATATGGTACTGATTTATTTACTGAAGTAGCAAGCCCCAGAAACATGTTATTCTAAGCAGAATAACCCGCCTGAGTTCTGAGTTCTAGGGTACGATAAATCATTTGAAAATTGGTTTGCATGCATTTTTGATTATCTAGAGGTATTAATACATATTTATTCTTTTCATTTGTATAATGTCACGACAGGTTCCTGGGTTCCCAGGAACGAGAACCCGCTCCGGGTTCCCCGTTCCCAGGTACAGAACCCGAAACTGACATCCCTATCAATGAAAATCGCTAAAAATGTTCATTTTCTATTGAAAAACGATCAAAAACCATTTTAAAAAATGAGGAGGTGTAAGCCCTTTTTTGTAACGGTTATAAGTTTTTATCTTGAATATTTTTTTTCCATTTTGTAGAGAAAAAGAAGTTGCCCAACATATATAAAATTCAGCTTGAGTACCTCTGATCCTAAAACATAGCAAGAGATTGGTGGTTTTAGACATTGATGCGTTGAATGAGCAAAAATCTTTTTTTTAAAATTTTTATCGAGTACTTCAGATGCTCGGTGGCCTCATGAACGCTCTCTTAAAAAGACTGAAAAATGAAATGAACATTGTATCTAATTACTTTTCGATCACAGTGTTAGTATACAAAATTTTCGATAGTGAATATTCATAATATCGGATAAGATTTCTTTTCTATAACTTACTTTAACATGTTGATAAACATCATCACTAGCTTCAGTTACATATGGAAGTCCATCATGTGCAACAAAATCAATTTTATTTTGTATTAAAAGTTCATCATCAATTGCCCAGGGTGCATCTGTTACAACTTCATCAACATAACGACAATGGCGAACACTTTCATAACGTTCAGCTTCATTCATTACAGTTTTACCTTTTTCTCTATGTGTTACTTCATTGTTAACAACACCAACAAGTAAATAAACATTTTTAAATAAATTTTTTGCTTGCATTAATTGTCGAGCATGACCAGCATGAAATAAATCATAAATACCTAAATTTTAAAAATTAACTGAATTAAAAAACAAAGAAAGAAAACAGATTTTGATTTTCTTTACCATCTGCATAAACACGAATTTTTCTTGGTGCTGTACCATTTTTAGCCATATCGAATGTAATTTTTATTGAATAATCACAATTTTCACGTTCTTTTTTAGCTTTTTCTTCATAACAGAAAGGTGCTGGACCTAAATTAAGATCAAGATTAACAGAACTTGTTCCAGTAAATTGCATTGAATGTTTAAATACTGTTCCATTATTAGCTTTATTTTGTGATTCTATTAATATGTCTTCAGATGACAAGTGTTCATGATTATTTTCTTTTAATAGTAGATTATTCGTATTAATATTAGTAGAATTTTCAGCTGATGCATCATGCCACTCATCAATAAATGTATTGCCGCCAGGTGTAACTAGTGTTGACTTATCATCCATTTAGTCTCTAATGTTAGACACGAATATTTAAAACAAAATCTGAAATATAAAACATATTAATGCTTGGTTTCAAATTACAAAAAGTCCAAAAGTTTTTTTTTTCCGAAATTAAATCAAAAAGAAAGAAAAGTTTTCTATTATAATACCATCTTAATTATGTATAGTTTACTTAATACCGTTGTATGTTTTTTGTTCGTAGACATTGAACTAAGAACGCCTTCTAGCATCTTATTTCTGCTTGATACACCTACTAATCATAAAGCTAACTAAGATATAATTAATGAGATCTTTTAGTTGATAGAACAAAAAAAAAAGAAAAGCCAAGCTACTGAATCGTTAATCCAATTAGTAACGAACCTATTTGGATCTACTTATCTGTATATGAAAAGAAATTTTCAGATTTTATGATGTAATAAAAAAAGAGAATCATGTATTTAACACATGATCTTGAAGCGAAAAAGAGGCAAAAAGGAAATATCAGATATTGGTTGATTGATTATTATTATGTGAACATTTTAATAACAAGAAGATTAGATGTAAATCATTGTCTGTACGAAAAGAATTGTCATATGTGTCTTTCTAACTTATTAACATTCATTGTTAATGATGACTCATTCGACTTACCGTTTGTTCTGTTTCTTTCTCTTCTTTCGTCGGAAAGACAAGAATAGGAGGGAGTTGAATACAGTTTCGATTGAATGCTGATTTATCCGTAAAGGCTTATTTATTGATTCATCCTTTAGTTCAATATGACACTTCCGTTTGTTGATCAGCATGCGCATACAAGAAACATGAACGTGATATTTATATTCCAATTTTCTAGATTTTCTTTTTTTTTCCTTATGAAATTCAACATTTACAAAATGCCAATAGCAAACAACAATCACAATTCTTCACCACCTAAAACAGATGAAGATTTGTATGAATTTTCGAAATCAAAAGAAGACCATCATTGACTAACAGATGGTGCAAAACTTCTGCGTGAATTTTGTTTCCAGTATAGCATGACAACAAATCGTCGTGGAGGCTCGATAGTTTTCTTGTTCGAAAGAGTAAAGTGTCTACTACAAAGCTGTCGGAAAATATTTGATTTAAAATTCTTACTGAACGCTGAAAAGTTTTAAGAACATGTTGAACAGGGAAAAGTGCTTTGAAATTTCACACAAAATTAGTGATGAGATGTGCATTTGATCGATTTGTCTTGCATTCTGCTTTGAAAACTCTTAGGGTTAGCTTACGTTTGAATGTAACCCACGTGATGCGAATTTTCTAATGATATAAAACTATTCGAGTTACAAAAATCATAGGTTCCATACGAAACAGTTTGATTTTTCCCTCTACAACGCACAAGGAAGTCTTTCTCATAATATCTAACAGAAAACCTCTATTCTGTTATATAATGTGCTTGTGTAGAGGACTTACTGGACTCTAATTGAACATAAAATATGGGATTTTGTTAACTTCGATTGCTAGAAAAAAACTCTTATTCTTCAAAATCACTTATTAGTTATGAATAGTTTTCGCTAGTAAACAACGCTAGAAAAATGTCAATTTCGAATTCAACCAATAAATTGAAAATTTTATTTGTACCTCCTTACAATGTCCTATGAAAATTTTCTTCTAAATTTCAGAACCTTGCAGAGAACTTTTCTAATCAAACATCTTCGTCAAACTTTTTAGTCTTTGGTAAGTAATATGAATCAAATATTTTTATACAACTTTGTAATAGAAACTTTGCTCTTTCTAACAAGAAACCTATCGAGCCTTCACGATGATTTGTTTTGATGCTATACTGAAAGCAAAATTAATGCAAATTTTGTGCACAATTTGCTACTTACTTGAAGTGCACTTTTATAGGACTCGAAACATGTTTATATATCATCCTTTGTTTGAAAAAAAAAGTCAGCAATCTGTTGCCAATAACCGTCTAAAAAACATTAAGTGAAACTGATGCCATTTCTTTTCAGTCATAGGCGTTTTTTCTTCTTAAGATATTATAAATATTCTTCAGCGAAACGAAAAATAGCAAAGACGAGAAACCAAAAAGAAGACAAAATTGATGAACATTCTAAGAAAAATATAAAGAGGACAGGACAAGAAAAAAGGAATGTGCTTCGTGAAGATGTCGACGGCAGTAGAAATGTAGCATGAACCAACTAGAACCGTTGAGTTAGTCAAGAACAGAAGAAAAAAAATAAGCCTCAACATGTCATCATCATTATCAGACGTAGAAGAACAAACAAATTCATCGAATGCTTGTTTTCATCTTATTCCTTCGAAAGATGATGATGAACAATTACAATGTAATTCAAATGCTGAATCGAGTTTTTATTGTATTAAAGAGTGTGGGTGGGTGTAGGTGTTGGTGTGGGTGGGTGTGAGTGTGGGTGTGGGGGGGGGAGGGGTGAGTGGGTGTAGGTGTCGGGTATGGGTGGTGTGGGTGTCCGCTCAGGTGGAAAGACAAGTCCACAACCACACACCCACACGCACACGCACACCCTCTCTAGGGTAAAACGTCAAGTCAAAATGTAAAAATCAATTGTTTTGTTATTAGAACTTTCCTCATGAGAAAAATGATTATGAATTTCATTAGATATTCGATAGGTCAAATAAAAAAATCTCATAAGGTGGAGTGTGGGTGATTGAAGCAGAAGAAACCACAGCCATAGGCACACTCACACTCAAAATGCACAGGTGTTAATCAATTCTAGAAAAATTAAAGACAATTATATATATATTAGTTTTATATCTTTGAAAACATGAAATTACAATGAGTTTTTAGTTAATTTTCAACATCAAATCGTTTTCAAATACGTTCAATACAGATTGAAGAAGTTGATAGCATTTTTTTCCAACTTAAATTTTGCTAAATAAATTATTATGGTGTAGAGATGAAGTAAGAGATAAGAAAACAAAAATAAAATGCATTGTCATCCAAAGAAAGGAAAAACGAAATATGATAAAAAAAAGAATTTATTCGTTTTGTTCTCATTGTTGTTGGAGTTATCAAACTCTTTTCGCCACATAGTCAATAGATATTATGCGGTGAGTGTGGGTGTGACAGAGAGCGTGGCTCTAGATGGGATGATGTCAATAAATAAAGTACTTTAGCCCACACCAGCGCAAAATAATGTCTTTAGATTTATTTTAAGTATTTATAACATCGAAACATATCCCTATTGAACGTGTAGCAAAGAATATATTTTAGTTATAAGAATTTTGATGATAAGGTTTTCAATTTATACAGTCTTATATTATAAAGATATCATCTAGCACCATCTATTAATAAAAAGAACAGAAATCTAAAGACATTATTCTAAAAGAAATTCTTGTTTTTTGGATAATTTTGTATGAATAATAAAATGGAATTTTAAAACATTATCCTAATGTTGGACCAAAAGCTTTAAAAGGTTATTTTTATTATTTGACTTAAATTTATAATAAGGTTTGATTTTTACAGTTTCAATTAGGTGCTCTATGGCGATTTGCTGAATTATCAAATGTACTACATCAGAAAAAGATTCAACTATTTGATCAGAATATTATGAACTTATTTTTCGTATTCCTGGTCGATCGATTAATGATAAACAAACTAAAGTAAGTAAAAAACAAGAATCTTTGACATCTAAGACAATTCTTATAAAAAGAAGGATGGAGAAAAATGTCATACGATTGAATAGAAACATAGAAAAGAATTGCTCTAGTTAATCGACAACTCCTGAGCCCATGTTTCAGTTAAAACTTCGAGCAGGAGAGGATGTTTTTCAGATAATGTAGAATAGGTAGTCTGATACTATTTGACGATATACGGACTGAGAAACTGTCCATCATTTGGAGCGATTTGCCCTCGAAAGTAATCGAGCGTAGAATTTCATGCAACTTAAGAACGATAAAATTTTATTTATTATTAAATTTCAATGAGAAATTAAATAATTTAGTTATAGTGGAAGTATGAAGTCGAACTAAATTATTCTTAGGAACTTCTTATGACCTATTTAGCAAATGTGTCGCATGAATCTGCACTTATTCTTCGTTTATCAATTGCTTCTCTTGTTATTATAACTCGTTATTCTCGTTCTCCTATGGTTATAGCACGTTTTCTAATAACAAATGCAATTGGTAAGTTTTCTTTTCAAATAATAATTTCGATTCATTATAATTTTCTTTTATTTTAATAGATCAATTATACTTGAACATCATAATCAAAATTATAGTACACGTTTAACAATTGGTTATCTTGTTTTAATAAAAAACCTTATTCAATTACTTGGTTATTCAAATTTATTTGATTTTGATCAATTATTAATTTCAATTCAAATTCGATCTATAGAAAAAACTCCTTTTAGTCAAGCATTACAAACAGGTAAATATTGAGAAAAAACAAGAATTTTTTATTTCTGTTTATCTTTTTCTAAAACAATAGCTTATTCAACATATCAACGTTAATGTATTGAAATTAATGAACAACAAGATATTTTAGTAAATAAAATGAATGATGAATTTGATTCAACATCAATGATTAATAATGAAAAACGAACATCAACTGCTAAACTTGTTAATCAATGATATTTTTTTTTCGATTAGATATATATTCAATATGGATGGTACGAAAATCAATATCATCCGTAAGTTGAGCTAGAGCAACCTATTTTATACATACATAAAAAAAATTATTATAATCATAAATTTCTTTTATCTACTTTAGCAAGAATATGAAAACTTGTACTATGTTGAATAGAATCTTCTAATAATTCAATTCCTATGATTATAAATGCATGACTATTAATTAATAAAAAATTTAATGATGTTTGTAAAGCATTTAATGAAACATGTATAGCACGTGCATAATTATCATTAAGACATAATTGAAAGGTAGAAAGTAATTCAGCTAAGATACCTAATTGAGCATCTTTAAAAACAAAAAAAAATATTTTATCAAAAACAAGAGATGATTAATATTCTAACCTAACCTTGAACTATCTTGTGAATCGGTTGATACAAGTAAACATTAAGAATTATTAAATGAATTTGATAATGATGATAGTGTTAAAAGATGAATTGTTGTTTGAATTAATGTAGCAAGTAAATTTGTACATGCACCACGTAAAGGAGGATCACCATGTTCACATTAAGATACGTCGCTGCTAGATAGATTTTAATGTATTACAAGTCATATAGAGATGGAAATTTCATTTTTCTCATTAGCGAATTCTATTTCAACTACAAAATTATAGCTAATCAGAGATCTTCAAAGACTAAAGAAAAACTCCTTAGAGGATACAATTGATTTCGTATCATAATGAAAAAACGAACATCTCTTTCGTACTAAATATGTACAGAACTTTTTCTGAGGTAATTGTATGATTGTATAATTTCAATCTCTGCTGTATAAATGCAGCCTCTGGGCTTCAATAAAGTGCTCTACTTGATATCTTTTCGAGTCTGATAATGTTCTAGTCTCTTGTTGGTTTCCAAAAAATTAAAAGTAGGAATAGGGCTAGAGCTGCTGAATCGATATTGAGAAATTTGCATTCTTGAATTTTCAAATTCCACTATATATGTTTCATATGGTTTTGTTTCAACAATTTCATAGTGAAATTGTCATATCTATCAGATAACTTTCACTAAAACTTTGTGACCTTAACCAATTGAAGCGACATCAACTCAACTCTGTCACAAGCCCCTTTACCAGATTGATCCCATTCACCTGAACTCTTCTGCTGTTACAGCATCGGAAATAATTTTGGATTATAAAATAAATCTATTTTACTGAAGTGAAACTTTACAAAAAGAAGCCTCAAACAAGTATTAAGCATACTTTCAGTAAGATAATCAAATCGACCATTGTTGATAAATAAGATAGACATGTTGGTATAGCACATTTAACACTAATACATGAATTATTTCAATGGGTAACATTTCAAAATGAGATTTATTTGTAGCAGACATATATATTTGATCATTTACTTAATGTCAAATGCTTATTGCACTATTTCATTTGCAAAATCTAAGAATAAAATATAGAGTGTACACACTGATTCAAGTAAACACCCGAGAAAAATATATCAGAAGACATTAACAGAGACAGGAGATGTGTGTTGTTACAAGAGAAATTCCCAGAATCAAAGAAAAAATGTCCAAAAAAAAAAAAAAAGAAAATGTAATTGCTTAATTCACAGTGAAAATTCCTATATTGTAATAGTAATACGTCCTAGTAAAATTCCCAACAACAAAACATTATTTCGT